CCACCAGGCTGGTCCAATTTAGCCATGAAACCTCCCACACTAAAAAGACAGGTGTTTCACTTTCATTGTCTAACCCCTGTATGTGTGTCACTAGTGGTTCACAGTAACAAGGTACCAGTGCCAGGTGGATCTGTACATGTGCATGATCTCTAAAGGCCTCTTTATACTCCCTCTGACCAGCCAACGTCGACTCGGATTGTTGAAGTTTCATGATGAAAATTACATCACCATGCTCTCAGCGTTGACTCTGCCTCCCTTCTTGTCACATTCCACCAGATTATGTGTGATTGGTCTACAGTTCGTGGGTGTGTTAGTTTATGTTGAAAGAGCTTAAACATTTTGCTCCAACTACTCATTTTCAAAATGTAACTGTTGTAAGCAGAAGCAGACATTTATTACGATCGTCAAACGGCCCTACAAAAACATGAATAGAGATTTAAAAAAGATGTTTAATACGGAGGAGTCCATGTTAACGTTAGCGTTAACTGGGACAGATTTGTGACTGGAGGCTTTATTTTCTCCCTGAGTGTAGACTCAAGCAGGAAGGAACCCTGTGCAGTGACGTATACCGCAGTGGGAGTGGTGTCCCAGGAGCTCAGCGTGGTGTGTCTCAGGAACTATGAAAGGTGTGTGAAAACGAACGCCCAACAATCACATGACCACACGTCYACTGTTRGGCTTTGGTTGGAGTATGTGGAGACCTTTCCTGGGATCAGTCCTGTCCATGCTCTGCAGTTTGAGTTTTATTTATTACAATCATGTAATTATTTCATGATGTCTTGGCTGAGAGTAATGGCACATTACGTACAGGAATCCAAACCAAAAGAYGTTTCCTAAAACTCTGTTACTGAGAAGACGGTGGCAGATATACTCATGTTAGTTGTGCTAACATTACTCCAACACCCACACTGCACAAAGAATCTATTAACACTCCACCACACCCAGCAGGTTTGAAGTCAACTAGTTGGTAAATAGATGACTCATGATGCTAAGAGGCTGAGAAGTCCAGCTTTAGACTTCTTTAAAAAGACATTTTCACTAAACGGTTTCATGGCAAGTTCATTTTGAGGATAAAGTAAGTAAAGTAAAAGTTTATTTATATAGCACCTTTCACAGACATAGAGGGTCACAAAGTSCTTTACAAAGGTGCAAAGTTATACAGAAAGATAAAACAATAAAAACATCAGCAAAAACATAAAACATTAGCTAAGAAACAGATAACACACTATACCGTAATTGTTAAAAGGCTTTATAAAAAGTAAKGTTTTAAGTTTGCTCTTAAAAGTAACCACAGAATCAAGTGCACGTATTMAGAGTGGAAGATCATTCCAGAGCCTTGGAGCGATGGCCTGGAAGGAGCGATCACCTCTCGACTTAAAGTGAGTGAAGGGGACCGTTAAAAGATTCTGATCTGATGACCTCAGCCCTCGAGAGGGTAAATATGGACACAACAGGGCTTTAATATATAAGGGAGCCTGACCATGGAGAGCTTTAAACGATAATACCAGGATTTTAAACTTAAAACGAAAACCCACTGGGAGTGAATGGAGTGATTTTAGATGCCTCTGGTTGTTCATAAAACTTTAGTCAAATCAAAAACATCCAGTGATACTGTACTGTGATRTTTTTTTTAATGAAGTCAGCATTGTGAAACCATAAAAGGTGTAGCCTATATGCACTGATGCAGAGCAATACGGCTGGCTGTGGAGCAGCTGGTGTGGGTCCAGAAAGATGTAGGTTTGATTAATCACCATGCTCATTATGTGGTGTCCTTCAGTAAGATACCTACTGTGGCTGTTCTCTGGGCTCTCACATAGCTGCCTGCTGCTAGGATGTGTCAAAGACCATCAAGCCCTGATGCTGGCTCACTCTTTCATATGTACTGATTACTATCTCACCTGGAGCCTTTAGAGGCTAACAGCAATTTGACTTCAGTCCAGACTTATGTTGATTCAGTTACAGAGATGCCAACAGATTTTGTAATAACTGAATTTTTTCAAACAACACATATGACCTCAACACAGWAAAACTTATAAAGTACTGTTCTGGTTTTTGGTTTTGGTGTCTCATCCCCAGATTAGCATCAGACCCATCTTAGGTGCCCCTGTTAAACTTCTGACATGTGTTTATAAATGTAGTTCTGCTGGTTTGAGAAGTCTAGGACTACATTTGACCCATATCACATGATTGATGTTTAACAGATCACCAACATATCATATAATTAATAAAACATCTGTACGGCTGAAGAAACGTGAATTTTTTAGATTTATTTTAAGTTGTARTACAAATACGGTTGTCTAAAAAGTGCATGAAGAGAATTTGTTGAGTGAAGGCTCGGTTACAGTCGTGCTTTGGGTAGTCGCGGAGTGCGCGCGCACCCTCGCCAGCAGCAGAGGTGTTTATACTTGGCGCTTACGTTGTTGTAGGTTTCTCTAAAAGGATACGTGGAAGTACACTTTATAACTTGTGAAATGTAAATAGGAGAGAAAAAACATGATGAACAAACATGTTGTGTGAATGGTGCGCACGCTTCCTTTGCAGAGTTTCAAAATTTCGGAGGTGCATGACCACGCGCTGTGACACTGCGCGGGGGCGGYGACAGCGCGATTGCATCACTTTTGGTGTGAGGACGCGTCAACCATAAAGCAGGCTTTAGTTTCATAAAACCATCTGACTCCTCACCATTTGTTTCCAGCAGTCCTTCACAGAGGTGTGTGACCTCTTGACCTCCCAGCAGCTGGAATTAACAACATATCCTTCTGGAAAACACCTGCAGCACAAAAAAAAAAAAGAAAGAAAATGAATCAGAGTTCATAGTTTTTTGACAGCTAATCAGATTTTATTTATATCCTTAAATGGAGAGATAACACACACACACGCACGCACGCACGCACGCACGCACGCACGCACGCACGCACGCACGCACACACACACACACACACACACACACACACACCCCTCAGGAGATTATCATCAGCCAAAGACTTTGTTAATAAACGCGGACGTTCAAACCACAGTTATTTACAGCAGATCCTCTTATTTCTAACCAAAAGCACAATGTATAACATTAARTGCTCAGAAACTCTTTCTTGGCTTTCATTTCAAATCTTGAAGTTGAAAAACAATTTTCACCTCTGGAGACCCTAACTTAATTTTCCTGAGAGGTGAAATCCTGGGCTGGGAACCCAAGAGGACAACTGTTTTTCTGTTTTGACATGTAAACTTGTGGTTTCATGTTCACTTGGTGAATCCCCATGAAATGTCATCCTTTCATTCTATGTCTGGTATATCCTCACAACCCTCCACCTTCTCTGAACTGTTTTAGCCTTTCAGCATTCCACCACTGGAGAGATTATCTCTGACAAGTTCAGGCAGATCTCCTGTGAGCCGACAGAGAAGGGGAGCTGGATAAAAGATGGAGAAAGTCTGAAAAAGACACTATTCATCCCAACAGAGCAGACCTCCCTCAGCCTGCACACACACACACACCTCCCTGCCACATTGAGAGCATTAGAAAGCCTGCTTTGTTGGTGCCAATCCTCTGAATGTGGGAATGAGGGTAACAGATTGGCAACAGGCCAAAGACCCCCACCCCACTCCACCTATCCCCCTCAAAAATGAGAAATCTGAACTGTATATGAGCCTCCAGTCTCAGAACAAGCAGAAGCAGATGAYGCTCAACACATTCCTCAGAGATCCAGAACAAGAAYAGGTACTTTGATGGTTCTGACAGGGACAGGAAGTATTAATGTCTCTGTTAAAAGATACTGCTCACAGAGGAATCGTGCATTTAATGCTGAGAAAGTGTTCAAGCTAACAAAGCACAGAGAGCATGACTGGCATGTTAATTCATACACAGACAGTGTTTCTGCTTGCTCATTCAGCCAACTGGGTTTTATTGTAAGARGAGGTTAAGTTACTCCCAACAGAGGAACAGAAGTGGATTTAAAACTTCCTGAAATCCACATTACATTCAGTCCAAATTCATTATTTTTATACACCATCTGATTAAAACTGCACTCCACATAACCAAAAGATTCAGCAAACAAGGCTTCTCTCACTCTCTGCCAATCTCATGAAAAAGTTGAATAACTCYACCAGGATTTGTTTCATTCAGTTTTAGACACAGGAGAACCAAAGACTAGACTTTCGAGTTAATTCCCACATATCTGGTTGAAGTCAGGATGACTTTTCTCAGAGGGATTTCAGGATGTTAATGATGCAACAAGGAAATATGTGGATTTGATCTAAATGTTCTCTCACATTCAGGTAACATAGTCCACTTTGTTTCAGTCCATACTGTGTATCACACACAACATAAACAGTAATGGAAGAAGAAAAAGCRATGGCCATTTACTAAAATAAGATTCAGGTTTGTAAATAAATATATGCAGTCTGTTTTTCTAGATTTAACTTAAAATTACTACCAGAAAGGGCTGAGAAAAAGATTGTACCTTAKTTTGTGTCCATGCTTGGCCTGCACGCTCAAAAGATTTGTGCTGCAAAGTTATTCTCAAAAGAGTCACAAAGTTGTCTTAAGCTTTTCCCACTTTAACTTCTGTAATAGTAGAGCATTACAGCTGTATTTTGACAAATGCAAAGGGAGCTGTTCCTATGAGCTGAAAAATCAAGATTCAAATGTTCAAGTCCAACCATGCAGATACATGTAGTAAATAATTCATAAAAGACGGGTCCAAATCTACCTATCTTCATTTAATAATGTACTACACTAGATGAGATCYTAAACACATTTTTGGCAGCCGAGGTGGGTACAAAGCAGGTAAGATGGGTACAAATCAGGATTAYTTGGTACAAATCAGGCTAGGCTGGGTATAACTTTTTGACACAACTCCTGATGTATTCAAKTCTGTTATGCTGCACCTTGTTAACCACATTAGAACAAGAACATCACAGCCATTCCCACACTCTACGACAAAAATAAAATAGTGGAGGCACTGAGGAAAGTGGGAAAGAAAGCTGCAACATGTGAGGTGTGGAAATCTATTGACACAGAACATTGTCAGGGTATTCAGCATTTTGAGTCCTTTGGTTCATTTTGTCCCCAAAATCTTGCTTGAATGAAAAGGATTTCATGCTGAAATACAGAGCAAAATGTTTGAGAGATTCTCTGCTCAGGATTTYGTTTAAGTGTGATCATGAATGAATCAAAATGCACCAATAATCATTCTGAAATTGTATGGTGGACCTCTGAATCATAATCAAATTGAATCATGAAGTGCCTGAAGATTGTAATGTCCTTAGGGTCATTTTGAAAGGAGGTTGCAGAACCCTGAGACATCTGATCTGCTGAAACTCTTCAAACAGAAAAGAAACATTTGGATTTTTTCCCTAAGAAAAATAGTAAGATTAAAAAATGTAATGAGTTTATTCTGTGCAGATGATGGGAACAGAATAGTCAAATCTGTCAGACTGAACCACACAACATTCCTTAGAGGCAACATTCAAAGGAGGCATCATCCACTTCACTGACTCCACCTTCCTTTCCATTCACTTCATTTCCAATTCAGCTGTCCTACAATGTGAAGGGCACAGAGAAAACAAGGAGTGGGGACAGAGCGGGGGGGGGGGGGACCTTTAAACTGACTAAACTGGAAAAGTGACTGAGCAGGGACACAATCAGAGTTACAGGAAGATTTAAAAACAGGAAACACGAACAAGTGCAGCAAGTGTTCATTGATGGAATGTGACGACTGAAAATAAAGCAGATAATGAAGGAAGAGGAGGATAAAGAACCATTAATCACACAGCCTACCCATGATTTAACCCCCACTCATTCAAACAACAAGGGGGAGGGGATGGCTCTAATTAAGAGTGAACATAAACACACAACTAGAGAGCTGCTCCTCTGTGGAGTTCTACAAACACCCGCAGCYTGGGCTTCAGTTAAAACACACATCTACACAGTGTTTACAGAGGAGCCATCCCATAATGAACACCTACTCAGGTTACACTGCACTGTCCGCCTTATTCTGCAACCCATACTGTCTCCATGATGCTTTATTTTTAGGATCAATCTGTCTCAAAGTAATAAACCTGTTCAGACCTGTTATTAAACTGGGCTTGGATAGTCTGAGAGCATCGATATCCTCGGACCACCTTCAGAGGTGYTCTGAYCCACTTTTATTAACATACATTTGGCAGTCTGAACACAAACTCACACACAAGCAGCAAACGTGARGTCCATCCATCCGTCACACAACGGCTCGTTCCACAGTCGGATCACAGGGGCGGCAGCATGATCAGAGGCCCAGACATGTCTTTTAACAGACACCTCTCCTAGGAGGACTTCCAGGTGTCCCCAGGCCAGCCGGGCCACATGGGTTGTGTTCAACTGCAGGTCTCAAGGCTCAATTCCAATTTTCTGCTCAAATCCCAAATTTCCCATCATATTTTAAACGCAACCTCCCTCAGTGTTGATGACGTGACGTCACGCTGAGTTTACAGAAGTAAACACGGATGCCACATGTTAGCATGTGTGGCTCGATTCTGAAGCAATCAGAGCAGATTAAATTATTATTATCTGACATGCTTGTTCTGTTCATCTGACCCTGCATCGTAGCACCTACTACAKCACAGCCTGTATTTATACTGAAAGTGAAACTAACTAAAGAATCGATCCAGTAACTTTAGCATTAATACGGTCCGACAACAACGTTATTATCATGACGTTGCTGTGGATTCTCAGTCATCCAGGACATGACAAATTAAAAAAAAAGATGAAGCAACTGGACGACTGTTCTGCAGAGTTCTAAGACTTAAACTGCCCAAAGTTGGTGTCAATATTTTAAAATACTTGGATGGATCTGCTCACCACCACCTCACTGYCATAAAGGTGGGCTGAAATGAAACATGACCATTCAGACTGGGTTCACTTTGAAAAACACCGGACATGTAACTAATTTAGTTCCACATTCTGAAAATACACAAGTCTTTCAGATTTGTCACGTTCAGACTGTCGTAAGTAATCTGATGTAGGTGGTGTAGGGGCAAAACCTTAGATTCGGATTGTATTTTCCTGCAGACCCCAAAGTGCCCTGGGTCTCATCAAACACTGTCCAGTGGTTCATAAAACATTTTACTAACAGTCAGATAACTGAACACACATAGGCAAAAAACATTATTGCTCATCTAAGGTGATGATGAAAACATTCTATAACAAATATTTGTTTGTTCTCTGTAAACCTATGGACATTGGAGATTGTTGGGTTGTTGCATCATCTTTTGATTCCAGGCAGAACTAAACTTACTGAAAGATGTTCATAACCAATGTTAGGACATGGTTCTGCTGGAAACCTTGCARTTAGAGTCACATGATGACTCTGTCGCAGTCTTGTTCACATTGAACATCATTGTGAAGTTTGTAAATGTTAAAAACAGTAAATTAGTTGAGAGAAGTCAGGATCAGGTCCTTCAGTGGCACCAGGATGAGCTTTTCTCAACATGTTGCAGTGGTCAGAGAGGAGCCTTGTGGCCGCATGGCTAAAGGAAGTTCCCATGGTTGTTAAAGTTTATGACCCTAAAAAAAGCAGTGACAGAGAGTGTCTGTGGACACAAAAAACCAAAARGATTACTGGGATCTGTGGTTCTGATATCTGTGGTTTCCTCTCCCAGAAGGATTAATATGGCTCTGTATAAAGTTATTAACTGTACCATGGTCTGAGGTGATGTTCACTCAGTTTTCTTTTCTTTTGGCAACAAACTTATGGCTACAGGGTAAGTGGCTATGACTCAGCATTATCAATGTAGCGC